CTTTTAGGTTCAGGAACACAACTACTGTAGGACGCCTAAATGTGTGTCTGTGTTCCAGGACCTGTCGTTGTGTGAAGATGTGGTTTATACAACCACGTCCAGGTCGAAAACTAGCCTGGTTTTCTCGAGTCTGTTCTTCACGAGCTTTCGTTAAGCGTTGAAGAATTATTGAGGCCGATATTTTAGATACTATATTAGTTAGACTTATTCCCCTGTGATTGTCACAAAAAGACTTTTGTCCTTTCTTGTAGATTGGGACAATTAGCGACTGAGACCAGTCAGATGGGATTACGTCCAGTTCCCAGATTATACCTAGGATCTCGGTCAGTCTAACTGTTAAAACTGGACCACCATCTTCAAACATCTCTGGGGTCAGTCTATCAAGACCTGCTGCTCTACCTCCCTTGAGATTTCCTATAGCTTTCTCAACTTTATGTTGATTGGGAGGACTTAAATCGAAATGTGGCTGAAGACCAGTTGAACTGATCCCTAAAGTGTTCTGCCCATCGGTCCAATCTCCTGGATTGAGAATGGATAATAAGACCATCCTTTTCCGAGTTAGTCTCACTCACATTCGGGTTCTTAATACTGGTTTCTTTGATAAGGCGGAAAAGTTGTCTAGCGTTGCCGATCACCGCTGCCTTTTCCTTTCGCCACCCACCACTGTTCGCGGTCGTTACGTGGGCTTTATATCAGCCTGCGATTAAGCTGACTTCGTTCTTCATCATGTTCAGAGCCAGGTGAGATGATTTTTCGGGCATCCATCAGTTCCGTGGATGCTATTGAGATACATGGCTTCATCCTAGCCTTATGCTTTACCTTACTAGAAGATGTCACTGCTGTTTCCAAAGCCTTTTGGATATCATTCCAACCTGCCTCCGGATGGGAGTCGCTTAAATGGTCGCCTAACTGTCTTTCTAGTTGTTCCTGAAATATATTCTTCGCCCTATTATCATTTAGTAAAGACCTAAGAGGCTTCCTTACGGTGTCTTTCCTACGTCCAGTAAGCCTCAAACAAATACGAGCTCGCTCTAGAGCATGATCTGAATCCAAACATGTGCCCCAGAACGAGCGACAGTCTTCTATCGAACCTCTCCATCGGTGGCTGATGGCCATATGATCTAGTTGAGTCCAACGTTGAGACAACTTCGGGGGTCGCCAGGTCAAAAGGTGTTTTTCCTTATACTTAAAATTAATGATTGCTAGAAATAGGCGGTTTTCTGAACATAGTTGCAACAGACGGTCGCCATTGTTTGTTCTTAGACCGCGAGACCACAATATCGACCTAGGTATCTTTCATTTTCACTTAGTCTACCTACTTGAGCATTGAAGTCACCATCAATACTACATCAGAGCGCTTTACTTTTTGGAGGAGGTCCGGAATAATGTTTCGTGAATTCGCATCGTTTGCATTAGCCGTGCAGTCAGATAAGCGAATGCGAGTAGAGTTAGCCGTGGAGAGAATAGAGGTATCTTTTACATCGTCTGAACTGCAGTCGGTGGGGGCATAGGGAGATACGACGAAGAGGGAACGACGAGTGTCCCTAACCTCCCGAGTCCTTACTGTTCCGTTCAGTCGGACAGCGCACAAGCGACTATCTACTGGGATCCGGTGTAGGAGCGCTAGTTCTGCCCTACGACTCAATACTATACCTACACCAGCAAGACCTCCGGAAGCAGCATCAGGGCTTCCAGATACACGAAGAGTAAATCGAGCTACTACTTTGTTTTGATAAGGTGAAATCAGATTAATGACTTTACTAGGATTCTTTATGCGCGTTTCCGAGACGCAGCACACATCGATTGAGCGAGATTCTGAAGTCCTAGCTAAGGAAGCCTGTTGCCCTATTTAACACAATGTCCGTACAATAAATGCTCCAACATGTAGTTTAGAACGGGGTTTAAGGAAATCAGGAACGATGCAGTGAGCTGAAGGAATGCGACTAGAGTTAGTCGTAAAGATAAGAGAGGAATTAGGGGATGTAAGAAGGATTTGATATTGACCAATTTAGTCTCACGTGCTGTTACAGATATGAGGGCGGTTGTCACTTCCCGGCTGCCCACACCATGGAAGGGTGTTTCTTGAGGGACCTGAAAAGGAAGATAGATTAGTGTTGGTCTTAGAGACCTGGGTGCGTGACCGCAGAGCCCAAGGGACAACTGCTTGAGGCCGGTCACACACGGCCTTTTGATGAAAGGATTTTTGAATGTTAGCTCCGCTCTTGAAAGCCCTTAGTGGGCACCCTTACCGCTGGAGACGAGAATCTGTGAGGTAGGGTGAGGTGTGACATTTTTAGGGTCGACGTTTTCTAACCCTTCCTTCCTTATGAGAAGGCAGCATCGCTGCAGATGCTGGTTGTCTGAGGGAAACACCTTACTGCTGCTGTCACACCCCTCTGCAGTCAGCAGTACGACTTCACCCTCAGACCTTGAGTAGTTGGTTTTAGTCTGATCGGCTCCAATCGACCTGCCTGGCATGGTAGAACCTTCAGGAACATATGTTCCAGCCAATATAGCTTGGTTGGGTCATCACGATAGTCAAGCCCGACCACCACGTCAAGGTAGCAGCTTCGGTCGGGTCACCACCTTAGAAATCACTTAACTATTATTTAGTATCAGTCCCGATTAGCTTGATGGTCAAAATGCTTTAGAAAATAGTTCAATTGGTATCTCAACATAAGTCAGGCAAATTTTAAGTTGGAAAGACTGTAGTTTATCTTAGGTGAGGTAGAACAACAAGTTTGATGAATTAGCCCCAGGGAGCCTTAGGTATGGTGGCCCAGTTTGAACTAACAAATTAACTTAGTAACTAGAGTTTAGGAGCTAGATATTATCCGACTAGTTCCGGTTGATGAACATTCTAGTCTATGACCACTAAAATCTTTTTATGGTAATCACAGAAGAACCTGTTTCATTTACATAGTGCCTGGAATATCAGCCTCTATAAACATACGACCCCTAGTTAGGGCTCCTGAACCATGTTGGTATGAGAGGTGTGCCAAAATATATGAATAACCTACATGATCTCTACTTAAATACTACTGGTAAATTCAGGTCTTGGCGAACTACCAACCGCAGGGCTTACCACTGTCCTCATTTTTATTTATTTTGTCAAACATGTCGTCCCAGAGACGACCTTTCTTCAGCTTTCTGGCGGTTTACCTCATCAAGTCTGCTTGAAGCGGAAGCAATATGTCCATATGTCAACCAACGGGCGTACATATTGTGTAGAAATTCGCTCTGCTTCACTTCATAGTTGTGAAGCAATGTCTTCGAGATTAAAAAATATGAACATACTTCGGATTTTTAATTATGTGTCCTGAAAACGTTTCATGGAGCTCTCGATTAAGTAAGGAACGCTGAGGTTAGGCATAGGTTACTAGATAAAAGCGCCAAGCCGGTTGATGAGGTTATGAATTTTCCATCAATTGAAGTGGTTATAAAGCGTATTAAGCATGCCTCAAAACAATTACCTGTATACACAATGTTTAATTGTGTAGGAACACGGTTGAAGAAAGCTATAGGTGGGGGTCCGTGAGACGTAATTCACCAATGGTTAGAGATCTTGAAAGATATGGCTCAAAATCGTTTGCAATAGCGCAGGTGCATCCACTCTTTGTGTTCTTTTTAATTCTAACCTGAAAATCTAATCTTCAGTATTCCTTATCACCTCAATCTTTCTCCTTCTAAAGTGTGAAGTACTACGTTGTAACTGACTGATGGGTGGCAAGGTAAGATATCTGATATTGTACGAATTAAGATTCATATATACTAATGGGTCACCGAGAAAACTAACAACGAAATCATTCAGGAAACCCGTAAAGTTATTCCCAATGTGTCGGTGTTGATCAATATGTTGATCTGAACCTATGGTTGGTGCTAAGTGACGCCCGCAAACTAGACAGATCTACAATATTAACATAATTTAATTGCATGAATCCCATTGACAAAAAATGAAAGTATCAATGTCTTAATATCTAAATATTATTGCTAGTTAACATTTCTTATTAACTATCAGCAGTTGTGTAGTGTTAGCGGGACATAGATTGGATTGAAGCATGTTCCATATACGATTGCGTTGTTGCACGCTGATTGGCTCTTACATATCCGATCAGAGCAAGTCGGTACTGGGAGAACATGCCGGAATCTTCTCGCATAAAAACTATAAATATACTAACATTTCGGAGTTCTCTGTCTTCTTTTTAACCTTGTTATTGGAATATATTCTAGTTCCTGTTCAACGGTGTTTTGATTTGGGAGAACATCTCGAGTGAATTTGGTGTCCGAAAATACTAAGCATTAGGAATAGCTAGGTTGTAATAAGAGAGAATTATAACATTTAGTTTGTTGCGAATTCCCTGATTGATGCAACCAAATATTTTAAAGACCGAGGAGGATTCGACTGAAAACCACACGCTTCCCACATTTTGTTCTTATTTCACAAGAACTTCAAATTAGTATGTCCACAGTTTTTCCAGTGCCGAGAGAAACAGAATTCAGCCGGGAACTCATCGTGACTACGGAAGCAAGACTGACGAAGTAAACATAGAAAATCTGTTTTCAAAAACAATAAACCTGCTCCCATTAATAAGTGATGAACCATCGACTACGCTGGCTAATGGTTAAAAGCAGAAAAATATGAACGATTAGCTACATAAACTTTAAAGAAACTGAAATACGATGAAAACTCGAAATAAATAAACTAGAAAAGGGTAAAGATACCTTAGATAATAAATTAGATTATATTGATATAATAAATGCGTTAAGTGTTTATCTTCGCCCTATGGTTCTACATGTGTTAGCCGATAAAAATTCATTGTAAAAATAATGATATGATACGGTATTTACTGAACAATATCTCCCGAACATCACCAGCTGAAGTACAAAATAGCAATATTAGAATGCACAATTCTGCAATAGATATCTGTGGTTAATTTATCAGTAAATTAGATGTGTCCTATAAGTGATTGATTCACTGCGACAGCTGTTAACTGGATGAATTAAAGTGCGAATTCAGATTTTGAGATCTCTTGATCAGCACTCAAGTAGGAACAGAGATAATCTATGCGCAGCCACGAGTAGTTGCGTGGTAAGGTAGAAAGTGTGTTAGCAGAGGTACCACTTGTTTTAAAAAATGCATGAGTAACTTCATGAGGAGGAGGATATGGCGGATTGCTTGATAATACCTAGGAGGGAAAACAGATAAATACAACTTAATAAAGTATTAATTATGAGATATTTATCAGCATAGTTCGTTTTCTATCGCATATTAGCATTTAGGCACGTTAGGATAATAAAAAACAATAGACAAGTAAACAGCTATTCCGCTTACTACAATACTGCCCTTTTTGATGTACAATCGGAAGTAATTTTTAACTGAACTGGGTAAATGAGAAGACTATAAATCGTCCAAACATTTGTTAGTGAACTAGATGATTCCATGTAAGTTAAAGAACCCAACAAATTTGGTTTCATTGAGAAATATTTGTAAGATGAAAACTTTATGAATTCCTTTTATATCGGGTGGTGAAAATACTTCATAAAGTCCCAAAATATTACCCGTATCAAAACCTAATCTTTGTAAAGATTATGTTTGAATCATTACATATCCAGTACACTGAATGCTTTAGACACTGATCTCCTAACTGATTTTCAAAGTTACAGTTTTTGATCAGAGGAATGAAACTACGAAAACGCTTGGAGTTCTAGGAGCTCATCGAAAAGGTGCTAAAATTAGTAGTAGCTAAGGTATTTGACTACTTAAACCGGCGAAGCACATTGTCAGTTAGCCTTTGAATTGGTCAAGAAATTCGACAGAAAAAGTGACTGATTAAAAGTACTTATCGTCATCTCTCCAATTCAATAGAAATATTTAGCACAACTAGTGAATAAGTCTCTGAAATTAGTGCCTATTCGATTACTTACTTACACCTGTTACCCCAATGGAGCACAGGACACCGACCAGTATTCTCCAACCTACTCCATCATGGAATTTCCTCCCTACTTCTGTCAAACAAATCCGAAGTATCTTGCGTAAACAACTGTTGATAAACAACTTGTATCTTCCGCATGGTGGCTTTGGTAGTTCTCCAAGTTTCCACCACATGCAGAAAAACTGTCTTCACATCTGTGCTGGAAATCATGAATTTCGTGTTTTTCAGTTGTGTGGTGTTCTTCAATTGTAGCAATGCTTTACCTATTCGCGCCTTCACGACTGCATCAGATCCGCCTTGATTGTCAATGATGCTGCCTAGATGTGTAAAGGATCTTTCGTCCTCCAAGGCATCTCCATCAAGCGTGATTTGGTTGGTGCATGTATCGTTGTTGTATCGTAGAATCCTACTTTTCCCTTTATGTATGTTGAGACCTACTGCTGCTGAGGTTGCTGCTACACTCAACGCGTAATGTAACCTGGACCAGAATAATATGTTTTGAAGTTCCTGAGGAAAACAGCTTCCGGAAGTCTAATCTATCGACTATGGCATAATTGACGTACTCTAAAAACAAAATACCTAAACGCATAGCGAATTGAGTAGTAAGTCGCGCGTGCCGTAGGATATCAGCTGGTATAGGCATTCATCACTTGAAAGTGATGTAGGCAAAAGTCATTTATTAATAACTTTCGGTGAATACATCTGAGGAAGGAATACATAGTGCACGATATATATATATATATATATATATATATATATATATATATATAGTATTTCAACAGGAGAGCTAAGCCGATAAGTCTTGAGTTTGTCAGTCAGCTGAGACTAGAATCTGGTACAAACATGCATGTTGCGTCAAGATTGGGTTGCATCGGAACCTGAACTAGTGATAGGGAGTGAAGTAGTCGAACGTGTAGACCGCTTCACTTACTTTAGGAGTCTCATCAATGCTGATGGCCTGGTGACTGACGAAATCTCGGCACGCACACACAAGGCTCGATTACATTTTGTCATCTACGGAGCAGGATAGATATCCCTTTGTTGATTGAAGGATGAATGTACTGTGCAGCACTTCTCTCTGTCGTGATATATGGATGCGAAACGCAGTCGGTAAGAGTTGAGGATATTCGTAGGTTATCAGTAATCGATTATAGATGTCTTTGAAGGATTGCTCGTATTTCCTGAAACAACCAAGTAGGCAATGCCTTTGTTAGGAATCGAGTACTAGGTAGGGATGGCAGATCAATTGTTGCGTGTGCGATAGAAGAGCAAGATCATCTGCAAAGTCTAGCTGCGTCCTAGCTGTCCATTGGATACCGTGATTCCCTCCAGATGTTGACGTCTATCATTATCCAGTCGATCACCAGGAGAAAGAGAAAGGATAAGAGTAGGCAACCTTGCCTCACACTGGTTTTCACCTCGAACGAGTTTGTCAGCTGACCTCCGTGCACGATTTTGCAGTTTAATCCATCATCAACCTATGAGGTTGACTTTCTTGTCAGGCACGCCGTAGTGTCGAAGTCAATGGTGTTGATGTGGAGTGGTGAGTTCCATTCAATTGATTGTTCCACAATCATCCGTAATGTTGCAATTTAGTCGGTACACGATCGATCCTTACGAAATCCAACCTGTTGATCTCGAAGTTGGGCATCTACGAAGTCCCTCATTCTGTTTAACAATGCCTTGTTGAAGGCTTTGCCTGTTATTGAGAGAAGAGTGATGCCTCTGTAGTTCTCACACTTGCTGAGATCGCCTTTCTTTGGTATTTTGATGAGGTATCCTTCTTTCCAGTCTGCTGGTACTTGTCCTTCATTCCAAAACTTGTTGGAAGGAATGTGGACTATTTTTGCCGTTGCTGCCATGTTTGCTTTCGTTGACTCAGCTGATATGATGTCTGGTCCCGCCGACTTGGCCATACTCCTCTTCACTTGCCTATTTGCTTCTGTGTATTCAACTTGTGCCTTGACTTTTTCTGCTCTTGTTCGGCTAACGTTGATTGCTGCCTTCTTGTTCCTCCTTTCGTCAATTTTTTTAAAAGTACCGACAGAGATCCATTCCCTGTGATGGTACTTCCTGTGACATTTTGAAATGATTGCCTAATTCATCCCTTTCCAATTGTCCTCCATGGTAGTTTCCTTTCCATTGAGTAGATCGTGAAAAGCCTGGAACCTATTGCTGAGGGCTATCCTGAATTCGTTGAATTTGTTAGTATCCCGGAAAACTTTTGTGATGTTGTTCAGTGCTTCTTTAGTTCTCTCACTAGAATGGTCACGCCCTTTGGGCATTTCTCGACGATTGACTGCAGCCTCTCATAGAATCAATCTTTAACATTTTCATTGTTGTTATTGGTAGGTGCATAGCATTGGATGAAGTTCATTATAATGTCCTCTCTGTTTTGAACGATGCTTTGATGATACTGGGTTCATGAGATTCTCATCGTATAAGTGCCTTTTGTGCTTGTTTGGACAGCATACGTGCCGTTCCTTGTGTGTGTCAGGCATTTTCTGCTTCATGGTCGGAATATAAAAGCAGCTCTACTGAAGCTAGTCTTCTTTGTCCAACCTGTATCCAATGAGTTTTACTGATTCCAAGCACCTTTAGGTTGTATCTTTTCATCTCTGCCGCAACTTGAAATAGTCTTCCAGTCTCCTACAATGTATGGACGTTCCATGTACCTAAAAGAATGGTTGTCTGGTTGTCAGAAGGGGGATAGGTCTCCTGACTTTTGAAGGAACTCAGATTGTATCATGGGGCGTCCTAACTCTTCTGATTGGACTTGCATAAAAGCTAGATCCACTTTCTGAATGCGAGGAATTTATCTTTGTCGTTTTCTTAATTGAATTGTAATAACTTAATAAATACTCTTGTTCATTTATATATTGTACGTTCTTTTATTTACTCACGATATCATTGCTTCACTTGGTGTGGCATTTTTGAGATGAAATGGCACGAGGATTTTTATTTCATAGGTTAATAAACATGTAGAGGGATTATTGCAAGAAACAGGTGGCATATTTACCACATACTGAAACATTCGGAATAATTAAACGCTTTTTTCTTACTTTCCCTCCACCAGCTTCGATAACACGTCTGAAACTACTTTCTTTATCACAACCAGGTCCAAAAATGACCTTCCAACCATGAAACGCTTTGCCTCCAGCCAACCGCCAACGACGTGCAGATCTAGCTAAATCTCTAATCTGAGCAGCTTTCTGTTGACGTAATATTGTAGGACCACCAGGCGAACGAGGAAACGGGCTTAACTGCATCAATAAGGGTTCAGTTCCAGGACCACCCCACTCATATGGTGCTTCATCAACCCAGCGAGATTCCCGCGAGCACGCGTCTAAGTAGGATTTGTGCAACATCCACTTGCCAGAAGCGAGGCAGATAAGGCATTTTTCACTTCGTGCTATAAAAAAGATTGAAAAAGATCTACAGTCAAAAGTAAATTAGTGCTTTTATGGGGAAAAATACCTTCAATAATTACCGAGAAACCAAATAAAGTAAAAAATTATGAAGTCAAATGCTGCATTTTTGAACATACGAGTACTGTTAGATGAAATATAGAAGTGAAGTGTGATTTTCCTTCCAGATAATATCTACCACAATACAATATGTAAAGGGCGGTGTAAGGTCCTAATTTTGTAATTTTATTCTGGAAATCTGAATTTTTATGTTTTGGTGCCAAGAGACGCTTAGTCGGCCTACAGCTAACATTTCCCCTCCCGGAAATCATCGACTGATGGGTTATTTTAGTACGTTATTCTGTGGTTCTTCCAAGGGCGTTGCTATCATTGTATAAATAAGCTTGATTTGTGTGCTTAGCAACCTCGTATTTTCTGGGTGCTTGTAGAATACATTCTCTACTCCTTATCAAGACTTCTTGCTTTTGTTAGCAGGGCCTGGGACAACGAACTAGAATAGCCTATCGTGTCACTGTATCGTTGACCTTCGTTTTGTTTACCGAGTAAGCTGAACTCGTAATAGCATTCAAGCATATCAATTAGTGAGTGTATCAAGCAGTGATGCGTCGATAGAAGTTACAAGCCTCAGAGTAATCTAGTAAGAAAATGAAATGATTTGGGAAGAAGTAAGATGAATCAAATGTGCACTAATTCTCACTGTTCACGGTCTCTAACGTAGTGAAAGTTTGCATGGTTGTTTCACCACAAATAAACAATGCTTTGTAAACGTTTATGGTGCAATACTTATAATTTACACATGCGTTTCATTGTAAATTTGGATAAACATACTGTGATGCAGTGTATACTTGCACTTTTGATACTCGAATTTAGTGCTTGTATCATGTGTCATAAGTTAATCAAAGCAAACGAACCGTCCTCTACTTATGACATGAATTTGATAGCCATTAGCACGCTAGGGATGATGAGACTGTCGAGATAAGCGTAGTCATCAATACACTTAACTGGTTTGTGCTACAAACGAGATCAAGATAAGGACTCACATCAACGATCCAACCTAACAAGCCCTAATTGAATACTAGAAATTGCGATACTTTATTGACGGTTAGATAAGCCTACTGAGCAATCAATTCAGCTGACTTTTTATCAGTTGCTAAATTTGGTATGGATTCAGAAGTTTTTAAAACCCTTTATCTAATGTAAATCATGCATCACACAAATAAAAATTAAGAGACTGAAAAAATAGTTACTTGGTGTATACACAATTAAATGTGTAGTTTTCTCGCTTAATGTAGTCTGATTATCTACTTCTCCATCTAATCGTTCCACAATTTCTGCATAATGATCTCGTTCGTCTAATGACAGGCCAGTGAAAGAAATTACATAGTTTGGTTTAGGTGATAGACAATCGGGCTGCTGATGCATCGGTGACTTGAACGATGACTGATTATCTGATCTATTAAAGTAGATCGGAAATACTCGTCAGTTGTATGAAAATAGCATAATTTTGTCTCATAACAATGAACAAATTCAGATGTAGGCTTACTTTTGTGTAATCTCTTTTGACAATATCTGTTCGATTTTCTTTTCAGGTTGATTCTGTTCACAGTTTACTTTCGAAACTATAAGATCAGCACCAGTTGCTGTTGTCTGATGTAGAGTGTCATCTTCGTACTTCCACCGAACCTATGAGAACAATCGAGACAGTGACAACTTAGAGGATTAATACCACATTTTTGCTTAGTCGCTAACAAGCCTTTCTTTAATTCAGTGTCAATCAGTTCAAAATTGTAAATCTGGATAGAAGCTGATATTAAACATGTAACATACAGCCGTCAAAGTTCATAAACTAAACGAATTATCTTTCTTGTCCCAAACCAAGCACTTCACCATCGCACACTCCATAACCATAATTTATAGTGAATTAAATGAATAGTTAACAGACTGTACAGTCTTGCTTGATCTTTCTTATAAGTGAGTGAACCACCAACCCACTAGAGCTGATATGGTTTCCAACATAGATGAAGTGATTAATCACTTCACTTTCTGTGCTTAATATAAGTGTTGATGTATGACAGTCCTAAATTAACATTTTATGTTTAGCGAGAGAGAAGTGTATCCCAAACAGTCCTATAATGCTTTTCAAAACGTTCGAAAGACCATTTTTTCCATTATTCTTATCGAATAAACATTTCATTTAGATGAGCTCAAGCGAAAAAACTACGCTAGGATTCTGTTTAAGGGTTTTGGAAATACAGCACTAGATTGATGGAATTTTAAAATTTTAGCTAATGAAACCTGTTTTTCGATTTGACGTAGAGTTTAGATATTGGAATGGCGGTGAGATGAGCTGCATCAGGGGGCCACTGTTTTTATTGCCTATGGAAAATAACTTAGTGAAGGTGGGAGTACTACTTTATTTTCTGGTCATAATTTGCTTTTGGTCTTATTGCTATCCAACAGACCTATTTTGGACATTAGGACCTCAAACAATAAGTGTTCCAGCTAATATAGATCAACCATATGGCTACTACAGTAGAAGCGTAACTAACAGGTCAGAAGAGAAGATACAGTAACGGTTCAGTGTTCAATTTCAGATGCGTACGAGTTTTGACTTTAACACAATGATAAAAAACATTCTACAAAACAGGAGTAATGTTCCGCTGAAGTAAATTTATTAAAATCTTACCTGTGACCATCAATATGAGCTGGTTATATTTGTAAACTGTCAACAGCAATACAAAAAAATCGCTTTTTATTCAATCTTATCTATGGTCCTCGGGGTCGAGCCGACCAGAAAAGTAGCAGGTTTAAATTACGTTGAATTATGTTGTATGCTAAATTTTACTTTGATTTCCCAGTTGTAAAACAGTACACTCAGGTGCGCTTAGCAGTCAGAATGACCAGATATTGTGTAACGGTATTGTTTGATGTTTTACGAATTTAAAGATATCAGGATATTACCAACTGAAACAAACATGTGCTTCCTGCAAATATCGTGTTCTGTTTTCAAGATAGCGATCACGAAAAGTACCTTACACATATAAAAACGTAACTGATTTCGAGAATGCCTACATCTTATTTCAGACTGGAAAAATAAATAGGTAAGTAAAATACTTCCTATACGCCCACATTGTATATCTAGCACCTGCGCTCATTGGAAGGACAGATAGGAACAACATATCGTTCATCACACTGTTACCATGTAATGGTTATTGTTTTTAGAAATCCATTCCGTCAGTCTCTAAAGCTGAAGTCTATTGCGCAATCAAAACAACATTCCTCTGTTTCAGTTAGTTCACTAATGTTTGATTTCCAGCAACCAATAGCATTCCAGTCAGAGGAACACTTTAATCAAATCGTTTGAAACGACAGTAGAGTTTCATCGAATAGAAATAAGGCATTTAAACAGCCCATTTGTCGTTTAGTAAAAACTATAGGGTTCGAACTCGTGATTTTTGATGTTTACCAGACCATCATAATCATACGTTCTCAATTTTTGCCGAACAGAGGTAATAGTAATAAGTGTTGCAGGGACAGAATGACTCCAAGAACTTCGGACACTTGAACTACTACATCTTACCATAACTGTGCTCCAGGTATAGATTTGAAAGGATGTGATTAGTGTTATGGCTTGATTGTCTGTTCCCAGCTTAGGAAATATAGGGACCAATATAACTCGATTCATTTATATTTATATTAACCACAACGTAATCGAGCGCAGGATCGTATACTATATTTTAAGCCACTATTTTGAGTGAGAACAATAACAAAGAGCCAGCAGTATTATATTTACGAAGCTTGCCAAAAAGTGTGATTTGAAGTGAAACACACGAATGTTAACCATAACTGCTAAGGGCTTCTAAAAAATAAACGATAAATTCAATATTTACTCACCATGATCATTTGACCAGCTTGTACCGAATCAACATTGTTATTCGGATTGTTTAAGTTTTCTACGTTTGATCTATCACTATTACCGCTGTCTAATTTTGACTCATGGGAAGTTATACTAGTATTTGAATGAATAGTAGAGTAATTGCTGCGACGAGGATTTCGTCTGAGACGTCTCTGACCCATAGGAACTGATGAAAATGGAGAATTAATGAAGTCGCCATTCGCCAAATTTTGACCTATATTTAAAAATTGTTGGTGATTACAGTCATTGTCGAGAATCGGATCTACATTTTCCTTGACATTATTTTTAGTTTCATTCTGAAAGCAGTTAGTTTTACTCCCAGTAATCATCATTTCCAATCGACGATTAATATCTCCCAAAAGATTTACGGAAGCTATTTACACAGTAGAGAAATATAGAAGAATACAAACTACTCTCAGATTTTAGTGATTTAATAAATATCAAAATGCCCAAGTAACAAAAACACAAATATACTAACTACATACACGAATAATTACAAATTTATTAATTAGATGAACTCTTCGTTTCCGGAAAGCAAATATCTACAAGAAACAAAAATGACTTCTAAATAAAGTTTTGGTGTGGAATACACAATAAAACTTTCTGATTGGCTGGGAATCAGACAGACAGACACATACAAGACAGAACTTCGTACATAAGTACATCAGTTCAGGTTGCCATACCACGTCAGCACAGGGACGCTACTGTCAGTTCAAATTCAAGAGTGATAGCGATAATAGAAGTATTAGCAGTAATGGAGAAGATTAGGGAGCGAAGATATGATTCGAGAAGTATAATTCAGTGAGATAAATTTAGAGGGAGAAAGATAGAGATTATGAGGAATTCAGAAGGTTAGAATTTGAGAGAACACAAAGAGTGGATGCACCGGCGCCATTGCAAACGATTCTGAGCCATGTCGTTCAAGGTCTCTAACCATCGGTGACTTTCGTCTCACGGACCCCAATCACGTAGCCTACATCTACCAACATGACTCAGTCCACTTGTCAATGACTTCATGGATTTCTGATATGTTTTGGTCTGGCCGCCCCTTGCTTTCTTCCAACCTACTCCTACACCACAAAACATCACTCGTCGCGGAAGTCGGTGGTTAGCCATACGTAACACATGTCCCAACCACCTCAACTGATGAAGTTTCACTACTTCATCTATTGATTTGCCATCCCTACCTAGAACTCGTTTCCTAACGACAGCATTGCTTATACGGTTGTTCCAGGATACACGAGCAATGCTTCGGAGACATCGAAGTAACCTACGGAAGTCCTCTACTCTTAACGCCATGTTTCGCATCCATATAGTAGGACGGAGCGAACTGATCCACAGACACTTGTCCTCTAATCAGTAAACGGATATCTCGCCTACGCCATAAATGACGTAAATTGGTAAAAGCCAATCGGGCTTTCTGTATCCGAGCTGAAATTTCGTTAGTCACCAGGCCATCAGCACTGATGAGACTTCCCAGACTCTCTCACCCGACCAGTAGTGTTTGAGCAGAGAGCTTGTATGAGGTTAATGTACTTCTTTGGTACACCTTTCAATGACAGACACTGCCACAGAACCTCACGATCCATTGAGTCAAATGCCGCTTTTAGGTTCAGGAACACAACTACTTTAGGACGCCTAAATGTGTGTCTGTGTTCCAGGACCTGTCGTAGTGTGAGAAAGTGGTCTATACAGCCACGTCCAGATCTGAGACCATCCTGGTTTTTTCTAGTCTGCTCTTCACGAGCAGATCTTCCCGATCACCATGTTAAGGTAGCAGCTACGGTCGCGGGCTGAGAATGAGAACGGAATTCTAAACGCATAAAATCCATAAAACGTCTGTACTTGCTCAAATTAAGATACGGAAAGTAAACCGGTGACACAATAGCTTATCTATTCTATGCAGCCCTGTGGGAATAAATGAAGCAAGAAGTAAAATATCGGAAGGGATAATGAATGATACGCCGGCAGCAACGAGAAAACGAATAAACAAGTATTCAGTACAAGAGTAGTTTACACAGAAAAATACGCGTCCTTAGAAACGGATATCCATTGTCTACTGAGTAGATAAGCCATTATTTTTATTATTTCCGAAATCTCAGAATGCCTAATCTCGTTAGCTGTTTCGGGATTGATAGCAGTTTTGGCGAAACCTTGGGTAGACTCTCTTGTTTCAGAAGTTTTATCCCGAAATTCATCGTCTGCTGCACAACCTGCAAAATACTGATTGATTAACTGATAGTCAGATGAATCCATATTTCTTACAGTGACGTCAACTTTGTCTTCAAGTTTTTCACAGTTTTCGTTCGTATCAGGAATTAGATAATCGTCTTCTTGAATACGGAACTTTGAATCGCGACATGCAAGTAACCAAGCTCCACTGATGTACTTAACACCTTTTTCTTTCGACAGAAAATTAAAACTATGCACACTTCCAACAACTACGTGAGTAAGCATTTCTGTAACCTGGTCGAATAATTCTGTGAACAATTTGCCACCTAATTCTCTAACAATTGACGAGTACAACTGAATCTCATCCTTGTTGCAATCAGAGAGTCTGATCGAACAGCCAGAAAGGATAGAACTACCATTTTGAATGCTAACAACTTGTGTACTTTCCCTGAAGCATACACTTTGAGTCTCGTCAACTTTAGAAGCAGCACCAACATAACTAATTGCTGATATATTATCAAAGGAGATATCATTCTGTTTCGTGTTTGGAGTTGGTGTCGATGATTTTGTCTTTACTTGGTCGACTCGATAATCCTCCTCATCAAGAGCATATCCTTTGTCTACTGAATCGATAAGCCATTTGATACTTATTATCTGTACTTTCCACTTTTTAGCATGAACATACTTTATTCCTGATGCTTGCTTAGTTACTAAATGCGTTGTTTCACCTATCTTCATTACACCTGAGTACTTTCCCCCATGTTTGGAAACTAAATCAGATACCTCTTTGCGCTCTTCTACAGACAAACCCGAAACACAAATAACAAGTTGAGAAAAGATCGGGACACGATACTTCTCAGTGTAAATCCCTAACATCATATCGATAGGATCTTGAATCTCTGAAAGACGCCAGGCTTCGGTGATCCAGTCAGGAAGTAAAATATGAAGATTTCTATTCGCACCCACTAAGTACTTTTTTGAACCAACTTTGGCTGTAACTATAACATTCACATTATCCGTTAAGTCCCGTGACACAGAACCATGTAACATTTGTATCGAATCAAATATTTGCTTCCGCTGGGCTCCGGCTACAGATGTAACTGTGGCAGTAGCATTAAGGAGGGCCGTTGAAAATAGTGGATATGGAAGATTAGGTAACGGCTTATTCTCTCTTACGTAATGTAGGATGACTTGAGGCCCATAAATTGAGACTCCAAGTGATCGAAGATGGTCGTAGCATTCACCATCAAAGCGAGCAAGCACAAAACAAATGTCTCTAGAAGGCTTCAATGGATATAGCTTAATAACTTCACAAGAGTCTAGACGTTTCGGATCAATATTTTCGAATCCGGAAACAGCATTAAATGCAGCGTTTAATAGTGAACTGGGAGGTTGATTGACAAAAATAATCTCGTCCATGTGATGTGTAGAATACCGCAAGGTCGGAGTGATTCTCCCTAAAACATTCGGTAACCTTGAGTTATTAGCTTTTAAGCTGGATACTTAGGGTAACCTTTTGGTTATATACGATCTACAAAGTAGAAGACAGAAAAAACGGTATGAATAGAAATTTAGTAGCCTCGTCATTATCCAGTTACGTCCAAAACCTATGATGCCATTCTTTCATTAAAACACACCTCAAATCACATTGGGGATACATTGCAGAATACTAAGTGTAGATTCTTTCGTATTAAGTCTGCAAGCTATAAAATTTACTCCACACCACTAAATGACCTTTTGACATCTACTTCATAACCAATGGAACGTAAAACATTCAATATGCTGTTCTTATGTTAACGCTGTTAGTTAATTTGTGTTCCATCTTTTTTTTCGAAGGGTTGAACCATTAAATACGAATTGCCTTTGATGCCTGATGTGGATACTAAAGTGAATGCTAGCTAAACTTCGGCTATTAACCGAAAAGTTGGTGGTTCGCGCCCATGCAGAGGCGGCAGTCACTTTGCCCCCAAGTGCCCTAGTACGGTTGAGAATAGAAAGAGTCCGCTCGTACTCTCGAAATGCTCTCGTATGGCCATGCGTATACATCTCAAGTCTGGACTCAGGTTGATTACATCACGATCAGCCACCGCTGGCATGGTTGTGTACAATACTGCCGCTCTCTTTAGAGTACTCGGCTGGACTCTAATTATTCCCTTATTTGTGCTAGTTTTATCTTACGTTTCCGTAGCCAACAAATTTATCGTCTTAAATTGACTGATGTCATTAAATTGGCTGTAGCTCCTTTTGCAACCAAATATCAAACCGAGGTAGGCTCAAGGCTAGCTATCGACCCACCGAAGTATGGATGAGCACTGGCTGCAATTGCATGACGCCATGAAAATGGAGAATAAAGTCGCATGCGGCTTTGCGAAACGTCTCGCTTATAAACACTGAGTTTCTACAGGCTCTTTACAACTCATTGAGGCACGTCGGTCTACTCTGGGTGACCACGAATTTGACGATAAAAGAAGACTGTCACGCAATCAAATTGTGCAAAGTTTGTGTGAGTACCGAGAAACCTGGTAGTAGGAGCGCGCTAACGAGTTGAAAGTAACAGCCGCATCTGGTAACTGCCGGAACCTCTTCCAACTCATCCGAGCCACTGACAGCAAGAAATCGAAGGACAGAGTTTCTCAAAGATCCGTTCGGCTGGTCTGCTGCCCAAGTGATATTTATTAGACTTCCCTGTCCTCCACGGCCGGTGACGACTGATCCACCTAACGAGACGAAAGTCCACAAAGAACTCCAATTCTTGAAGTGCTACAAATCACCAGACCCAAATCACCTACCTCCGACCCTTTCTAAAGATGGTGGCGACCTGATTATGAGACTGACTGAGTTGTCTACAACTGTTTAGCCACTAGAGAGTGCTCCGAAATTGTGGAGTGATTCAATAGTTGTCCCCATCTTTGAAAAGGTTGGCGTCATTCACGTAGCAATTATCAGGCGATAAGTCCACTACCGATTGACGTCAGGACAGCACTCGATTCGTTGAACAAGGTTGTTCTCTGGAATTGTTTGTTGAAAAAGGGTGTACTGAAAGCTCTGTGTACAGGCAATTCAGGTAGTGTGAAGGCATACAGCCAGCCTCTCTCCATTGTTTCATCCAAGCAGTGGGGTAAGGCAGGGCTACCTAATCTCACAATTTCTCACATGAAAATCATGAACATATATGGAACCAATAATCTGATCAAAGTGGGATATAATCAAAACAAAGAGGCAGATAGCAGCAGTTTAAAGGTCAACAATTATCAATCAAGATTGATGTCGATAGGAGTAGTTAGGAGTCATACGTGGACAAATTCGAATATTTCGTTTCTACCTGAAGTTCGTACTGACATTCTTCAGAGGAACAATACAAGCTTCACAATCAAACAATAGAGCTTAGAAAACGAAATTCCACTATAACTGATCGGTACTTCAGAAATCCTTGGTTAAGATACTAGAGATAGCACAACACAGTGGCTTGAAGAGTTATTAGGCATGGTACATCCACTTGTTATTATTTATTTATTGTTTTCGAACATATTTACCTTCCTTCCTGTCTTTTTTTAAAACTTCATTTTCTCACTATGTGATGCTTATCTATACTAATATTTATTTAAATGAAATAACTTTACAAGCATAAATAAATATTCAGCTATATAAGTAAATTGTTTTTTCTACTTTACTTCTCGAAAGCAATGTAATTTTTTTCTCCTTTTCATATGAACACCTACAAATGTTATCTACCAGTATGATATAGGGAAGGTTAAATAATGAGAATAAGAATGACTGCCTAGATGAAAAATACACAATTCTGGATTCAGTTGTAGCTTTAATAGCAAGGATGTTCGGTCGAAAACTGAAAACTATTGTATCCGAATAATTTCAGAAAATTGTTTGGTGAAAATAAGATATAAACTATGTGATTTGTAGACTAAAATACAAACCAATATATATCTGTTGATTTTTATTTGATAGACTGAAACACTGGAAAGACTTTACGCATCTCCTACGACTATAAGGAAATATATAAAACTATCTGAAAAGCAGTTCGCGAAGCTAAAGAGAGAACAATAATATTAAATCCTACTTTCGAAAAATATAAGGAATAAAAAGACATGCCATCAAGTCGCCTCTTTCATCATGTTTTCAAAGTATACAAATGATAGCGATGCAACTATAAAATCACATGCAGAACATAGAAGAAAATAAACTCCAATTAATAACTTCTGATTAAAAAAAACTTGCATAAATCTCTCGTTTTTTGATGAGTTAACAAACGGGAATAAAAAACAACAGTGTTTCGCTTAATAGCACCCAGTAATTTTAGTCTATACACTGCAGAATAAAATAAATTAAAATAGTTGACTGGAAAAGTTGGTCTTACCGACACGTGCTACTTTTGGTTGTGGTTCTACTGGAGATTTGCTGACAGACATTTTCCCATCCGGGTATGTAGGAGGGAAATCACTCTCCGGTAGTCTATGACAGGCTTCCATACATGAAGTTAACCATTTTGGATTGACCAGATATTTTCCATCTTGCTTGGCAGCGGCTACATCGGTATACATGACTTGACCTGCCGGACAAGTAATCGGTGTAACCGATATACTGGATGACGGTGTTGATGGGAGTAAAATGTCATCGGATGAAGTTTCAGAGATCAAATGTGTACAAACCTAAAATAGAAACGTCTCATCAAGGAGGAGGTGACACGATACTAAGTAAATAACAACCGTTCAACTAATGGTTACATAAACAACGAAATTACATTTATTGAGCTATACGTAATACAAATTTTGTCAAAATTATAAATTTATGACCGTCAGATGTCTGTTAACGGTTAGTTGGTTATGATCACTTGAATAAAAGAGTCAAATCTCCATCAACCAGGAGGCCATTAGTCTCGTTAGGAGTTTTTATGGAACCAATGCTATTTAAAGGCGGTTTTAATAAGATATGTTTTATTCTAATTCCTTCGAGAACTGATCATTTCACAATTCATTAACCAAGATAAGTTTTGTGTACTAGGCTCCCAGTTCCATTGAGTGAGGAGTTTAGATAGTTTCTGACTGTCAAAACCAAAGCAGAAGTGCTGAGACTTGAATCAGTGAAACTATGGTTGAAGGCAAAAGTTAGGTTTCATATGAAAGCTTTTAACGCCATACACCCATACTTACATTACAAGTGAAGCGGTGCTTAAAGCATTTAAATCCTGGTCATTAGGTTGCGGATTCATGTTCCACCAATTTAAGCGGTCAGATAGTATAACTACCTCTTACTTACTTACTTACTTATGCCTGTTACCCCAAATGGAGCATAGGCCGCCCACCAGTTTTCTCCAACCAACTCTGTCCTGGACTTCTCTCTCCAGTTCTGTCCAATGTTTGTTCATTCCTCTCATATCTTTCTCTATTTCTCGGCGTAATGTATTCTTTGGCCTTCCTCTTTTCCTTTTGCCTTCAGGGTTCCATGTGAGGGCTTGTCTCGTGACGCAGTTAGGTGCTTTCCGCAATGTGTGTCCTATCCACTTCCACCGCTTCTTCCTGATTTCCTCCTCCACTTCAATCTGGTTTGTTCTCTCCCACAGTTCGTTGTTGCTGATCGTATCTGGCCAACGAATCCGAAGTATTTTGCGTAGACAACTGTTAATAAACACTTGTATCCTCTGGATGATGGCTTTGGTAGTTCTCCATGTTTCCGCTCCATACATTAGAACTGTCTTGACATTTGTATTGAAAATCCTTATTTTGGTGTTGATTGATATCTGTTTGGAGTTCCAGATATTTTTCAACTGTAGAAATGCAGCCCTTGCTTTGCCAATCCGTGCCCTCACATCTGCATCGGATCCACCTTGATTGTCGATGATGCTGCCCAGATATGTAAAGGTGTTAACGTCCTCCAAGGCATCTCCATCAAGAGTGATTTGATTGGTGCATGTTGTGTTGCATCGGAGAATTTTGCTTTTTCCTTTATGTATGTTGAGACCTACTGCTGCAGAGGCTGCTGCTACACTGGTTGTCTTCTCTTGCATTTGTTGTTGAGTGTGCGATAGAAGAGCCAAGTCATCTGCGAATCCCAGATCGTCCAGCTGCGTCCTAACTGTCCAGTTGATACCGTGCTTCCCTCCAGATGTTGACGTTTTCATAATCCAGTCGAAGACCAGGAGAAAGAGAAAGGGTGAGAGTAAGCAACCTTGCCTGACACCGGTCTCCACCTCGAAAGAGTCGGTTAGCTGTCCTCCGTGCACGATTTTGCAGTTGAATCCATCATAAGAGTTCCGTATGATGTTAACTATTTTCTCAGGCACACCGTAGTGTCGAAGAAGAGTCCACAGTGTTTTCCTGTCCACGCTATGGAATGCTTTCTCGTAGTCGATGAAGTTGATGTAGAGTGGTGAATTCCATTCAATTGACTGTTCCACAATGATCCGTAATGTAGCAATTTGGTAAGTACACGATCGATCCTTACGAAATCCGGCCTGTTGATCTCGAAGTTGGGCGTCTACGAAGTCCTTCATTCTGTTTAACAATACCCTGTTGAAGACTTTGCCTGGTACATTCCAAAAAATGTTTTGCTCAAAAACAAGTGCATAAACCAGTACATTTGGAAATGAGTCACATGACATTTTCCTAGAACCTGAGACTTTGGTGTAAGCTGACCATTCAAGTTACTAACGCATTGTAACATTGTTTTTCAATACGTCCTGAACCTTTAATCTATGCGATGAAGCTCAAGTACTAAATCCCCAAACGAATACTCCAAGCTATTCGTAGTCAATGAACAGAAATTTATGAAAAAATGATACATGAACTTGCTACGGAAACAAGTAATAAAAGGCGATAAATTTTTAAATAATGTCTTTTTTCCACATTTTCATTAAGTAACAAAATTGCTTAGAGTGTAGTTCTTATCACTTCTTGCTAAACTCCTAAACTCAAATGTTCTCACAAACTTCGTATTATATTGGAGAGGAAAGAAAAATGGCTAGAGAAAACTGAGTAATTTCTATTTGGTGAAACTAACAACCCAAAAGTAGGGAGACCTGATAATTATGAAGTTGTTTTCCAGTAAATATAACACCGAAATATATGAGTTTCCGAAAGATTTGCCAACAGAAATTGAAGTACCTAATTGTTTTCTAGGTGATTCTTAGAACAGCCGAAATTTAAACGTTTGACCTTGAGTTTGTAATATATATGGATAGTATTAAGTAAGTGATATCCTTACCTAAACTGACACACTTATGTACAAAACATATTTAGCTGGTTAACAGCTAATTCGGGTAAACTATGGTTATTAATGAAGTGTAAATATTGTTAAAAAGACTGCAATGCTAATGCGTTGAACGCATGTGATTTTGTAATAAAGATCCTTCAATTTATATTTTTAAAAGAAAATGGATTGATTATTTATGGGAGAGTGGTAAAAGCGTCTCAAACTGAGAAAAAGTCAATCATAATCCCCAACGGAGAAATCTTCCTTAATTTTATATTTGGACAATCACGTGCAAAGTTTTCAGCTTTCGTTTCGCACTTGTCATAGGTAATATAACCCTGATGATTGGATATTGATAGGGAATCTAGCAAGAATTATCGAGAAGGATAATGGAGTGATTTACTGATAGGGACACTACTTAACAGTTGAGGACAAAGTATGCGAATTGAGATTACACTAGTACTTCCAACTAAATATGAAGTATAAATCCGGAATTATCCAACACAATACCAGCCTCTCTTCCAATCAAAAGTCATGGGAGCCAATCCACACAATTTTAAACAGTAATAGTTAATATCCAAAATAGTTTGCTTTGTGAACATCGATAAATTTTGACGTAATTAAAAAACGTGATCATTTAACCTGACAAAAACCTATTAAAGAAAATTTAACAGTGGTAGGAAATCACAAGGATCCTGAAATTAAGGTTGACTAGGTTTAAATTCTATCACATCAGACAAATAAATATATTAAACATTTAGATATTATCAGTTAATGTGAAAAATAAAGATAACTGAATGTAAAGTCACAATGTACCTCGAAAACTATAACACAATTCACTAAGTACGGAATCAACACCAAGAACAGTCAAACATCAAATCGAAATCGGCATAAATTGTCAATCTACTTAACAACTGGTTGCGTAGTTAAATTACAACTCTAAAGAAACCTTACCTGAGGATTGTAAGTCCATTTGAAATCTCCACCTAGTTTTTTCACAATTTCATTTAACTCCACTTGGCGAGAGCTTAAGTGTTTTGCCACACATATTACCACTCCTCGTAAGCACAAGTTATTTTCTTCATTAGCTAGATCTAAATTTCAAAAAATAGGCAACGATAATGTACAAGACAGAAAAATACATTGTTTTATTCGGCATATAAACGTTTTGTTAAGACAATGACGTACAGAGATAGAGTAACAATAATGGTGGAAACACTGAACAATACACAGATATATATAAGTTCAGATTACAAAGTTGTTAAGCACGCAGTTAAGAATAAACAAATCACACAATATAAAAAGAATTGAGTGTATGCAAGAGATATTGAGGTTAACAAAATCGAAATAATGGAGCATCTTACAAAAACTCAACTGAAGTAAAACCTGAGGAAGAATTGAACAGTAGTGAGACAATGTAAGATATATTTCCGAGTTTCTCTAACTTGCCGTGAGAAGCTAATTTTATAAAAATCGACTTTCAAAAAGAGTTTTCAGGAGCCCATATGTTTATCGTTTAAATTAGTTAACAGGATACTACCCTCCCGATTCACTTGCCAGTTGTAAGAATTCAAGAAACCTAATACCAACGTTCTACATTAAAGTGAACTACGCTAATATTTCACATTGCTACTTCGACTAACCACAATTTTGTAAGTGGTCAGAAAAGGAATTTTAAGTTGGTGCAGTAACCATGATATTAATCTAACTGTATAAATTCTAGTGCAATAAGCCACAAGAAGAACGCGCCAAATAAATAAAGCGATAATATTGGGAAGAAATACAGGAGTACGGCGTAGCATAACCAACAAATAAATCAGCATAAATAGTACTTACTAGATAAAAATTAGCTTACAATTTACATAAAGAAGATTCCTTTCAGTAAAGGAAGCACATCTCAGTATTATGTTGTTAAACAGAAAACTATATGAGTATCCCGGAAATAGCTGCTACTTTGACATGGTGGTGAGGCTTGCCTATTGTGATGATCCAACCGAGCTCAATTGACTGGAACATATGTTTCTATACGGTCTACCATGCCAGGCAGGTTACAGTAAGACTAAAAGTAGCAGCTCAAGGTCTGACGGCAAAGTCGTACTTCTGACTGTAGAGGGGTGGGACAGGCGTTTCCGCCAGGTGACCATCATATGCAACAATACTGCCTTCTCACGAGGTCAGCAGTTCTACAAATGAAGAACAGCAGGTACTCAAAACAACACTACACAACTGAAAAACACCAAATTCATGATTTCCAGCACAGATGTGAAGACAGTTTTTCTGCATGTGGTGGAAACTTGGAGAACTACCAAAGCCACCATGCGGAAGATACAAGTTGTTTATCAACAGCTGTTTACGCAAGATACTTCGGATTTGTTTGACAGAAGTAGGGAGGAAATTCCATGATGGAGTAGGTTGCAGAATACTGGTCGGTGTCCTATGCTCAATTGGGGAAACAGGTGTAAGTAAGTAATCGAATAGGCTAGCTATCGACCCACCGAAGTATGGATGAGCACTGGCTGCAATTGCATGACGCCATGAAAATGGAGAATAAAGTCGCATGCGGCTTTGCGAAACGTCTCGCTTATAAACACTGAGTTTCTACAGGCTCTTTACAACTCATTGAGGCACGTCGGTCTACTCTGGGTGACCACGAGTTTGACGATAAAAGAAGACTGTCACGCAATCAAATTGTGCAAAGTTTGTGTGAGTACCGAGAAACCTGGTAGTAGGAGCGCGCTAACGAGTTGAAAGTAACAGCCGCATCTGGTAACTGCCGGAACCTCTTCCAACTCATCCGAGCCACTGACAGCAAGAAATCGAAGGACAGAGTTTCTCAAAGATCCGTTCGGCTGGTCTGCTGCCCAAGTGATATTTATTAGACTTCCCTGTCCTCCACGGCCGGTGACGACTGATCCACCTAACGAGACGAAAGTCCACAAAGAACTCCAATTCTTGAAGTGCTACAAATCACCAGACCCAAATCACCTACCTCCGACCCTTTCTAAAGATGGTGGCGACCTGATTATGAGACTGACTGAGTTGTCTACAACTGTTTAGCCACTAGAGAGTGCTCCGAAATTGTGGAGTGATTCAATAGTTGTCCCCATCTTTGAAAAGGTTGGCGTCATTCACGTAGCAATTATCAGGCGATAAGTCCACTACCGATTGACGTCAGGACAGCACTCGATTCGTTGAACAAGGCTGTTCTCTGGAATTGTTTGTTGAAAAAGGGTGTACTGAAAGCTCTGTGTACAGGCAATTCAGGTAGTGTGAAGGCATACAGCCAGCCTCTCTCCATTGTTTCATCCAGGTGCATACACTCTTTGCGTTCTGTCAAATCGTTATCTTCTGAATTCTTCGTCACCTTTATCTCTCTCTCTTTAAGTTTATCTTACTGGATTATAGACAGAGAGACCAACAGACAGATACAAGACAGAACTTCGTACATAAGTACATCAGTTCAGGTTGCCATACCACGTCAGCACAGGGACGCTACTGTCAGTTCAAATTCAAGAGTGATAGCGATAATAGAAGTATTAGCAGTAATGGAGAAGATTAGGGAGCGAAGATATGATTCGAGAAGTATAATTCAGTGAGATAAATTTGGAAGGAGAAAGATAGAGATGATGAGGAATTCAGAAGGTTAGAATTTGAGAGAACACAAAGAGTGGATGCACCTGCGTCATTGCAAACGATTCTGAGCCATGTCGTTCAAGGTCTCTAACCATCGGTGACTTTCGTCCCGCGGACCCCAATCAGGTAGCCTACATCTACCAACATGACTCAGTCCACTTGTCAATGACTTCATGGATTTCTGATATGTTTTGGTCTGGCCGCCCCTTGCTTTCTTCCAACCTACTCCTACACCACAAAACATCACTCGTCGCGGAAGTCGGTGGTTAGCCATACGTAACACATGTCCCAACCACCTCAACTGATGAAGTTTCACTACTTCATCTCTTGATTTGCCATCCCTACCTAGAACTCGTTTCCTAACGACAGCATTGCTTATACGGTTGTCCCAGGATACACGAGCAATGCTTCGGAGACATCGAAGTAACCTACGGAAGTCCTCTACTCTTAACGCCATGTTTCGCATCCATATAGTAGGACGGAGCGAACTGATGCACAGACACTTGTCCTCTAATCAGTAAACGGATATCTCGCCTACGCCATAAATGACGTAAATTGGTAAAAGCCAATCGGGCTTTCTGTATCCGAGCTGAGATTTCGTTAGTCACCAGGCCATCAGCACTGATGAGACTTCCCAGATACGTGAAGCGGTCTACACGTTCGACTACTTCACTCCCTATCACTTGTTCAGATACCGATGCAACCCAATCTTGAAACAACATTTTGCATTTCGACGGGGAGAACCGCATCCCGAACATGCTTGCATTGTTGCTTAGGGTAGTCAGAAGACTTCACAGGATAGAACTATGTCATCGGCATATTCTAGGTCAGGTAGAAAGTCGACTCCTGAAAAGTCGGACGAGGATAAGGAGCAAGTCTATGACAAAAACAAGAATGGAGAGAGTGGACAGCCCTGACAGACACCACTTGAAGTGAAGAATTCCGATGACAGTTCGCCATAAGCTCTCACCCGACCAGTAGTTTTAGAGTAGAGAGCTTGTATAAAGTTAATGTACTTCTTTGGTACACCTTTTGATACTGCCACAGAACCTCGCGATCCACAGAGTCGAATGCTGCCTTAAGGTCCAGGAAGACAACTATTGTAGGACGCCTAAATGTGTGTCTGTGTTCCAGGACCTGTCGTAGTGTGAAGATGTGGTCTATACATCCACGTCCAGGTCTGAAACCAGCCTGGTTTTCTCGAGTCTGCTCTTCACGAGCACTAGTAAGGCGTCTAAGTATAATCGAGGCTCGCAAGCAACTGGCTACCAAGGCTGCACACAAAAGTGAACCAGCAACCGGTGGCGTGAAGCCCCACAGATATAGACCTGGGACTGTTGCCTTACGGGAGATACGTCGTTACCAGAAGAGTACTGAGCTCTTGATCCGCAAGCTTCCTTTCCAACGTTTGGTCCGCGAAATCGCCCAAGACTTCAGAACTGACCTTCGTATCCAGAGTTCAGACGTCTCGGCGCTCCAAGAAGCCAGTGAAGCATACTTAGTTGCATTGTTCGAAGACACTAACTTATGTGCTATCCATGCTAAGCGTGTTACGATTATGCCAAAAGATATCCAACTTGCTCGACGCATTCGAGGTGAACGAGCCTAGATAAGTGTCAATGTAGAGGAACCCGACCGAAAGCTTCTACCTTGACGTGGTGGTCGGGCTTGACTATCGTGATGACCCAGTCGAGCTATATTACCCGGAACATATGTTCCTGAAGGTTCTACCATGCCAGGCAGGTCGATTGGAGAACGATCAGACTAAAAGCAGCTACTCAAGGTCTCAGGGCGAAGTCGTACTGCTGACTGCAGAGAGGTGTGACAGCAGTAAGGTGTTTCCCTCAGACAACCAGCATGTGTAGGAAGGAAGGAAGGGTTAGAAAACTTCGACCCTAAAAATGTTACACCTCACCCTACCTCACGGATTTCTGTCTCCGGCGGTAAGGGTGCCCACTAAGGGCCTTCAAGAACGGAGCTAACACTCAAAAAACCCTTCATAAAAAGGCCGTGCGTGACCGGTCTCAAGCAGTTGTCCCTTGGGCTCTACGGTCACGCAACCATGTCTCTAAGACCAACACTAATCTTTCTTCAGTTTCAGGTCCCTCAAGAAACAACCTTCCACAGTGTGGGCAGCTGGGAAGTGACATCCGCCCTCATAAAGGTAACAGCAAGCGAGACCGGATTGGTCAAAATCAAATCCTCCCTTCACCCTCGCATACCTCTCTTATCTCCACGACTAACTATTCTCACATTCCTTTATCACACTGCACTGAATTTCGAAGCTTCGAAGTATTCTGGTTACGAACACTTAGAAGAAAATTGCCTTGAGTCTCTTGGACGGAAAAGTTAAAAAAAGAGATCGAAAAACATGATTTTTTAATGCGCTATTAAGATGGAAACGATTGCAACTAAAAATATCTGGAAGCTATTTTACCTAATGTAGATCACCAATTATAAGAAGTTTTATTATAATAAGATTATTTGTACACCTAAAAATCTTCAACAAAACCTAGAAAGGTGGGATGAGTAATGCGGAAAAAAGTTTAGACAGTTTACTGATCCATTCAGGTTATCCAAACCGAAGTGTATGGAGTAGAAGTTGAGCCAGTGGTCCACTTAATTGTATGTTGTGTTTTGACCACCAATCCAGTAAGATATAGTAGATATTGCATAAAAAAAAGGTAAAAACCAAATGGATACAAAGTAGCGTGTCCAAGTCAATTGGGATTACCTGAATGTTCTAACCTTCTTTTGGGTAGTGCTGATGTTTCTTGGACTGCATTTTTCAAGCATCTGGACAGTTGAGCAGAAAAAGTTGGGGACGGTTTGTATAAATAACTCGAAGAATGGAGTGAGGAATTTAATTTTGATAAGCAACCTTCGCGAAAATCTTGAAGCCAATCAGGGGTTTGCATTGTGTCAGCTAGGTTGCTAAGTGCTAGGTTATATTGAGGACTTTCAGTGGTTTTATCACTAGTCGATTTAGGGAAATCATAAGTATTTTTCAACATGCCATATTCTCCAACCTGCATTTCTTTGGAACTTACGGTTAAATTTTCGTTCATACTAATTCTCGGATTCTTAGTAGTATCGCATACTTGGAATTCGCATTCATTTACTAAACTCCAAGTCTCGGCACATTTATAAAGCCAAAGACGATTAACAGCCGGAAGACCCCATTGTTGAGCCGCCGGCCACTTTCGGCCATCTGGTTTGGCAGCAATTAGATGGGTACTAGCAGCGAGGTTCCTAGACGGTACTGACTTGCGTAGGAAACATTCTTGGACAACAGCTCCTAGAGCTTGAGCATATGAAGTTAATAAACTCCTATCATTTCCTACAAAACCGCTGAGTGAAATAACACATCCAGATAACGGTGGTGGACCTGGTTTACGTAATACGGGTTTAAATGCATATTCTTTCCCAATTTCCTGCAAACAGAGACTCTTTTCGTGAATACAATACGAAATCCACGCAATAGTAACAAGTTTACAGGAGCTAATTTGAGGAAGGTCGACGACGAAAAATGGAGTAACTAAAAAATTCACATTCTGCTCATCATCAGAGATACAACCTCCAGCTGTTTTAATTATACCAGTGTATTTGTCAACATCTGTATCACTTAATTCCTTGTGAAAAGAGAATACGAGGTTTAAAAAACACCCTCCAGAGAAATTTATTTCCGAAATCTCAGAATGCCTAATCTCGTTAGCTGTTTCGGGATTGATAGCAGTTTTGGCGAAACCTTGGGTAGACTCTCTTGTTTCAGAAGTTTTATCCCGAAATTCATCGTCTGCTGCACAACCTGCAAAATACTGATTGATTAACTGATAGTCAGATGAATCCATATTTCTTACAGTGACGTCAACTTTGTCTTCAAGTTTTTCACAGTTTTCGTTCGTATCAGGAATTAGATAATCGTCTTCTTGAATACGGAACTTTGAATCGCGACATGCAAGTAACCAAGCTCCACTGATGTACTTAACACCTTTTTCTTTCGACAGAAAATTAAAACTATGCACACTTCCAACAACTACGTGAGTAAGCATTTCTGTAACCTGGTCGAATAATTCTGTGAACAATTTGCCACCTAATTCTCTAACAATTGACGAGTACAACTGAATCTCATCCTTGTTGCAATCAGAGAGTCTGATCGAACAGCCAGAAAGGATAGAACTACCATTTTGAATGCTAACAACTTGTGTACTTTCCCTGAAGCATACACTTTGAGTCTCGTCAACTTTAGAAGCAGCACCAACATAACTAATTGCTGATATATTATCAAAGGAGATATCATTCTGTTTCGTGTTTGGAGTTGGTGTCGATGATTTTGTCTTTACTTGGTCGACTCGATAATCCTCCTCATCAAGAGCATATCCTTTGTCTACTGAATCGATAAGCCATTTGATACTTATTATCTGTACTTTCCACTTTTTAGCATGAACATACTTTATTCCTGATGCTTGCTTAGTTACTAAATGCGTTGTTTCACCTATCTTCATTACACCTGAGTACTTTCCCCCATGTTTGGAAACTAAATCAGATACCTCTTTGCGCTCTTCTACAGACAAACCCGAAACACAAATAACAAGTTGAGAAAAGATCGGGACACGATACTTCTCAGTGTAAATCCCTAACATCATATCGATAGGATCTTGAATCTCTGAAAGACGCCAGGCTTCGGTGATCCAGTCAGGAAGTAAAATATGAAGATTTCTATTCGCACCCACTAAGTACTTTTTTGAACCAACTTTGGCTGTAACTATAACATTCACATTATCCGTTAAGTCCCGTGACACAGAACCATGTAACATTTGTATCGAATCAAATATTTGCTTCCGCTGGGCTCCGGCTACAGATGTAACTGTGGCAGTAGCATTAAGGAGGGCCGTTGAAAATAGTGGATATGGAAGATTAGGTAACGGCTTATTCTCTCTTACGTAATGTAGGATGACTTGAGGCCCATAAATTGAGACTCCAAGTGATCGAAGATGGTCGTAGCATTCACCATCAAAGCGAGCAAGCACAAAACAAATGTCTCTAGAAGGCTTCAATGGATATAGCTTAATAACTTCACAAGAGTCTAGACGTTTCGGATCAATATTTTCGAATCCGGAAACAGCATTAAATGCAGCGTTTAATAGTGAACTGGGAGGTTGATTGACAAAAATAATCTCGTCCATGTGATGTGTAGAATACCGCAAGGTCGGAGTGATTCTCCCTAAAACATTCGGTAACCTTGAGTTATTAGCTTTTAAGCTGGATACTTAGGGTAACCTTTTGGTTATATACGATCTACAAAGTAGAAGACAGAAAAAACGGTATGAATAGAAATTTAGTAGCCTCGTCATTATCCAGTTACGTCCAAAACCTATGATGCCATTCTTTCATTAAAACACACCTCAAATCACATTGGGGATACATTGCAGAATACTAAGTGTAGATTCTTTCGTATTAAGTCTGCAAGCTATAAAATTTACTCCACACCACTAAATGACCTTTTGACATCTACTTCATAACCAATGGAACGTAAAACATTCAATATGCTGTTCTTATGTTAACGCTGTTAGTTAATTTGTGTTCCATCTTTTTTTTCGAAGGGTTGAACCATTAAATACGAATTGCCTTTGATGCCTGATGTGGATACTAAAGTGAATGCTAGCTAAACTTCGGCTATTAACCGAAAAGTTGGTGGTTCGCGCCCATGCAGAGGCGGCAGTCACTTTGCCCCCAAGTGCCCTAGTACGGTTGAGAATAGAAAGAGTCCGCTCGTACTCTCGAAATGCTCTCGTATGGCCATGCGTATACATCTCAAGTCTGGACTCAGGTTGATTACATCACGATCAGCCACCGCTGGCATGGTTGTGTACAATACTGCCGCTCTCTTTAGAGTACTCGGCTGGACTCTAATTATTCCCTTATTTGTGCTAGTTTTATCTTACGTTTCCGTAGCCAACAAATTTATCGTCTTAAATTGACTGATGTCATTAAATTGGCTGTAGCTCCTTTTGCAACCAAATATCAAACCGAGGTAGGCTCAAGGCTAGCTATCGACCCACCGAAGTATGGATGAGCACTGGCTGCAATTGCATGACGCCATGAAAATGGAGAATAAAGTCGCATGCGGCTTTGCGAAACGTCTCGCTTATAAACACTGAGTTTCTACAGGCTCTTTACAACTCATTGAGGCACGTCGGTCTACTCTGGGTGACCACGAGTTTGACGATAAAAGAAGACTGTCACGCAATCAAATTGTGCAAAGTTTGTGTGAGTACCGAGAAACCTGGTAGTAGGAGCGCGCTAACGAGTTGAAAGTAACAGCCGCATCTGGTAACTGCCGGAACCTCTTCCAACTCATCCGAGCCACTGACAGCAAGAAATCGAAGGACAGAGTTTCTCAAAGATCCGTTCGGCTGGTCTGCTGCCCAAGTGATATTTATTAGACTTCCCTGTCCTCCACGGCCGGTGACGACTGATCCACCTAACGAGACGAAAGTCCACAAAGAACTCCAATTCTTGAAGTGCTACAAATCACCAGACCCAAATCACCTACCTCCGACCCTTTCTAAAGATGGTGGCGACCTGATTATGAGACTGACTGAGTTGTCTACAACTGTTTAGCCACTAGAGAGTGCTCCGAAATTGTGGAGTGATTCAATAGTTGTCCCCATCTTTGAAAAGGTTGGCGTCATTCACGTAGCAATTATCAGGCGATAAGTCCACTACCGATTGACGTCAGGACAGCACTCGATTCGTTGAACAAGGCTGTTCTCTGGAATTGTTTGTTGAAAAAGGGTGTACTGAAAGCTCTGTGTACAGGCAATTCAGGTAGTGTGAAGGCATACAGCCAGCCTCTCTCCATTGTTTCATCCAGGTGCATACACTCTTTGCGTTCTGTCAAATCGTTATCTTCTGAATTCTTCGTCACCTTTATCTCTCTCTCTTTAAGTTTATCTTACTGGATTATAGACAGAGAGACCAACAGACAGATACAAGACAGAACTTCGTACATAAGTACATCAGTTCAGGTTGCCATACCACGTCAGCACAGGGACGCTACTGTCAGTTCAAATTCAAGAGTGATAGCGATAATAGAAGTATTAGCAGTAATGGAGAAGATTAGGGAGCGAAGATATGATTCGAGAAGTATAATTCAGTGAGATAAATTTAGAGGGAGAAAGATAGAGATTATGAGGAATTCAGAAGGTTAGAATTTGAGAGAACACAAAGAGTGGATGCACCGGCGCCATTGCAAACGATTCTGAGCCATGTCGTTCAAGGTCTCTAACCATCGGTGACTTTCGTCTCACGGACCCCAATCACGTAGCCTACATCTACCAACATGACTCAGTCCACTTGTCAATGACTTCATGGATTTCTGATATGTTTTGGTCTGGCCGCCCCTTGCTTTCTTCCAACCTACTCCTACACCACAAAACATCACTCGTCGCGGAAGTCGGTGGTTAGCCATACGTAACACATGTCCCAACCACCTCAACTGATGAAGTTTCACTACTTCATCTCTTGATTTGCCATCCCTACCTAGAACTCGTTTCCTAACGACAGCATTGCTTATACGGTTGTCCCAGGATACACGAGCAATGCTTCGGAGACATCGAAGTAACCTACGGAAGTCCTCTACTCTTAACGCCATGTTTCGCATCCATATAGTAGGACGGAGCGAACTGATGCACAGACACTTGTCCTCTAATCAGTAAACGGATATCTCGCCTACGCCATAAATGACGTAAATTGGTAAAAGCCAATCGGGCTTTCTGTATCCGAGCTGAGATTTCGTTAGTCACCAGGCCATCAGCACTGATGAGACTTCCCAGATACGTGAAGCGGTCTACACGTTCGACTACTTCACTCCCTATCACTTGTTCAGATACCGATGCAACCCAATCTTGAAACAACATTTTGCATTTCGACGGGGAGAACCGCATCCCGAACATGCTTGCATTGTTGCTTAGGGTAGTCAGAAGACTTCACAGGATAGAACTATGTCATCGGCATATTCTAGGTCAGGTAGAAAGTCGACTCCTGAAAAGTCGGACGAGGATAAGGAGCAAGTCTATGACAAAAACAAGAATGGAGAGAGTGGACAGCCCTGACAGACACCACTTGAAGTGAAGAATTCCGATGACAGTTCGCCATAAGCTCTCACCCGACCAGTAGTTTTAGAGTAGAGAGCTTGTATAAAGTTAATGTACTTCTTTGGTACACCTTTTGATACTGCCACAGAACCTCGCGATCCACAGAGTCGAATGCTGCCTTAAGGTCCAGGAAGACAACTATTGTAGGACGCCTAAATGTGTGTCTGTGTTCCAGGACCTGTCGTAGTGTGAAGATGTGGTCTATACATCCACGTCCAGGTCTGAAACCAGCCTGGTTTTCTCGAGTCTGCTCTTCACGAGCACGAGTAAGGCGTCTAAGTATAATCGAGGCTCGCAAGCAACTGGCTACCAAGGCTGCACACAAAAGTGAACCAGCAACCGGTGGCGTGAAGCCCCACAGATATAGACCTGGGACTGTTGCCTTACGGGAGATACGTCGTTACCAGAAGAGTACTGAGCTCTTGATCCGCAAGCTTCCTTTCCAACGTTTGGTCCGCGAAATCGCCCAAGACTTCAGAACTGACCTTCGTATCCAGAGTTCAGACGTCTCGGCGCTCCAAGAAGCCAGTGAAGCATACTTAGTTGCATTGTTCGAAGACACTAACTTATGTGCTATCCATGCTAAGCGTGTTACGATTATGCCAAAAGATATCCAACTTGCTCGACGCATTCGAGGTGAACGAGCCTAGATAAGTGTCAATGTAGAGGAACCCGACCGAAAGCTTCTACCTTGACGTGGTGGTCGGGCTTGACTATCGTGATGACCCAGTCGAGCTATATTACCCGGAACATATGTTCCTGAAGGTTCTACCATGCCAGGCAGGTCGATTGGAGAACGATCAGACTAAAAGCAGCTACTCAAGGTCTCAGGGCGAAGTCGTACTGCTGACTGCAGAGAGGTGTGACAGCAGTAAGGTGTTTCCCTCAGACAACCAGCATGTGTAGGAAGGAAGGAAGGGTTAGAAAACTTCGACCCTAAAAATGTTACACCTCACCCTACCTCACGGATTTCTGTCTCCGGCGGTAAGGGTGCCCACTAAGGGCCTTCAAGAACGGAGCTAACACTCAAAAAACCCTTCATAAAAAGGCCGTGCGTGACCAGCCTGGTTTTCTCGAGTCTGCTCTTCACGAGCACTAGTAGGGTGTCTAAGTATAATCGAGGCTAACAATTTAGACACTATATTAGTTAGACTCATTACCCTGTGATTGTCACAAGAATACTTTTGTCCTTGTGTCCAGTTCCCAGATTCTACCTAAGATTTCAGTTAATCTAGTTGCTAAAGCTGGACCATCATCCTTAAAAATTTAAGGGTTAAGCATATCAGATCTTATACTTCTGGCATAAATTCTTCGAACCCTAATCTTCGCCATTACCGCTAATAGTTCTACCACTTCTACAGTTATGGGATTTGAATTGACATTTGCATCTCAACGCTAATTTGGTATGGAAACTTGAACTGATGTACGAAGTTCTACTTTGTAAATGACTGACTGACTGCTCTGATGCAAATAACTTGCCGTTCAATGCCACTGTAATAGTGAACGCTGCCAAAGGGTATATTAAGAAACAAGGACACGCAAATTAATGCACAGATATCCCAACCAAACGTGCGACCGAATTACTTAAATGGGACAGAAAAAACACCGATCCCAAGAGGAACAAAAAGCTCAAAAACACAAGTTTGTCCGTATCCCATCTTCTAATTGGAGGTTGACAGAAAAAGCCTGAAAAATCTAATACGAAAGCTAGATCTATTTCTAGGAGAAAGCGCGATTTGTCCATCCAAGTTGTCATACATCACTTATGATATCACACTATGCTGAACGCAGCTGTGATTGCCACCCCAGTAAAAGCTGAGGAATGGGTACAAGTCACGAATAAGAAACGACCGAATGTCGTCAAAGAAACTCTAGTTCCCACAATAGCAGTCCCAAGAACGAAAACTGATCACAAAATTTGGTGAGTCATCTTTATCAGAGTGAGGGAGAGCGAAAGCTCCAAGCCCGAAATCCGCTCCCAGCATGACGTCGCGTTGACAAAAGATTTATTAAGCACGCGAGTGCCT